GACAGGTTTGGTGGGACAAAGCTTCTTAAAGTACTGAATGACAATAACATATTTGATAATTAAGCATCCATCAAGACATATAAAAGCAGTGCTTTGATAGTTTGCGAGTCTGGAGCATTGATGTTTGTGTTGCAGTGCCAAGGAGGAAAAACCTCAACAACGACCTTGAATTGCATAAATCTCGAAAGTGTTATAAGGTTCATCGTTCTGCAGATTGTTCAGAAGAACAAGATTTTGTTCACCAAAACCTTCATGACAGTTTTCAGTCTTCCCAGGAGAATTCAAAACATAGGTCAAGTTGTGCAGTGCTCAAAGAAGCGGCAAAAAACTCAAGAGCTACATCTCAGACAGGTTTTAGGAGACATGCTTAAAAAGCACAATCAGAAAAAGACTGGACAATTATGGGTTGTTTGGTAGAGTTGCCACAAAAAGACTGTTTCTCTCTGAAATATGGCAGCACAGTTTTGGTTTGCAAAGCTGCAACTTAGAACACCATAAGACCTGTGGAACAATGTATTTTAGACAGACGAGACCAAAGTAGAGATGTTTGGCCAGTGCCATATTTGGAGAAAATCATTGCATATCAACGAAAACACCTCATACCTGCCCTCGTCTGCCACATAAAAACTATGCTTGCCCTCCTTCACAACATTAATTCCTGTCATGTGGGTTTTTTTTCTATTTTTCTTGCTGTTTGGTGGCTCCATCACTTGTCTCTCTACTTGTTTTGAATATGAAATCTACAACAGAATGTTTAAAAAAAAAAAAAAAGATAAAAAAAAATCAAATAGTTGCAATCATGGTTAAGTCAAAGTTTAGACCTGAACCTAAATGAAATGCTGTGGCAGAACCTAGAATGAATAAACCTCAGTGAAACAAATAAATGTTGTAAAGAACAGCAGGACAAAATTCCTCTACAATGATGTTGGAGATGGATAAAGCCATACAGAAAACCAGTACTTCCAGTTATTGCTGCTAAAGGTGGTTATGCAAGTGGTTGAAGCTAACACTGTGTTTTGTTGGCCTGTGATTGTGTCAGATTATAGTTACACGATAAAACAATGTACTGACATTACAGAATGTGTATTTTGAAAAGAAAAACACAATCGGTATGAATGATATGTCTAGTATATAAGACTGAAGTGAAGTAAAAAAATAAAAAAAAGTCTTAATGTGTAATTTTACAAAAGCTGTACAAAAAAAACAACCAAACAGCTTTAGGATAGCACATGTTATATCTGTGAGCTTTGAGCACTTTAGTCAGTAAGGCTGGAAAGGATAGTCATAGTATCATAGTAGGGTTTTTTGAAGCCAATCCTTAGGAGGATATCTCTGTGGCTTCAACACAGGGGAATCTGAGAGATTCCAGCTGTCACTTCCGGTGGACAGCTGGAATGCTGCACAATATTATAACAACATTGTGTTTCTGTTGGACAGAGTAGAGTTACACAACTACAGAAAATAAATGAGTTTGTTCTGGAAGAGAAGGGGAGAGACTTTTGGAGATAACACAGCACTAAGAACACAGAAAGAATTTACCCCTGTGACCCGATTGTATTGAAAGACCTCAGTAAATCTCCAGAGTGCATCACTTTGTCATGACGCATAAAATGAAGACTGACACCAGAGTTCTGGAAACATGGATTATAGTTTCAATTATTAAATACTCTAGTTAAAAAACATCAGCAGGGAAAAGTTCTGAATGCCTTTAAGAAGACGTGTGGAAAGATGATTGGACTACACCAGTGATGTCGCAATGAGCTTGACAGCATGGGAAAGTGGAAGTGATGTGGCATAAATAAGCCACCAACACATGGGAAGCAGACAGATGTGTGACTACAAATCTTCCTTATTGAACTTAAAGATAAGCTTTATATAAATAAAATTGATTTGAAATCAAATATAATAAATAGGATATAATATAAAGTATTACAGTGAACGCAATGTAAACATGTGCAGCAGTAATAGCCATTCAACAATGATGGGAAACATTTTTCTTTTTTTAATTAGTTTTACTTTTGGTATTATATGCACAATTTTCCAATAATACAGTTTGGCATTGTATCAACATTGCATTTTTAATTAGCACACTTAATGTACTTCTAATAAAGCAAACTAAAAAATGATTAGTGCTATTTTCAGTTGGGTACTTTCACTGTGACTCTGAGCTGTGGGTAGTGAAAGCAGCAGCAAGAATGTGCTTCCTCTCAAATGTCCTATTTGCTTTCTGCTTTTCTGAACTGAGCTTAACTGCCAAGATTTCTTCTGCATGCTGTTTTCCAGGAGAGGGAAAAAATTGAATTCTTTCACCAGGTATCCAGTTGTCCTGTTTTGTAGTGTTGTGTGTTACTCCATCCTTGAGACAATAAAGAAACAGACTTCCAGTCGGTCCATGATGCTGTTACACGTGTGGGTTCTCATTTGCTAAAACACAGAATAAAGGCAAACTCTCCTGTCTAAACTTATACAGTTGCAGCTGTCACATACTATCTCACTTAAGGTGGCCCTATGGAAGAGAAGGCTCCCTTGTTCACCTAGTTTCAGTATACTGTATACACTTCTCTCTGTACCAACACCATATGCATTGGCTGACTTTGACAATATGTCAATATTTGAAAATCAGCAGATTTGCAGATGAGTCGACATTCTTACCTTCAGCTATGGTGGCCATGAGGACTGATCTGAAGGGCAGCTGGTCTCTCCCTTAGATATAGGGTGAAGGACAGATCCACACAGGAAAAGCTTATAGAAGCCAGTTGAAGTGGTTTGGGAGTCAGGCAAGGATGCCTCCTAGATTTGATTGGGATTACAATCATTTATACTTTAAACTGCATTGCAATACAAAATTACATTCACACTGTTGAATAGAGGGTATTTTTCCACTGAACAAGGTCAAGCTAAGATCTTCCCCATTTTCAGTTTCTGTTCTCCCCTGATGTACCAGACTGTCTCTTAGCTTTGACCTAGGTCAAGCTTACACAAGCATAATCAGAGGTTTCAGTTACCTATTCCAGTATGCAGGATATAACAACCAGTGATGGGAAAAATGGCGTTACTTTTTTCAGTAACTAAAGAGTAATCCAACTAATTACTATATCGTAACAACGCCGTTACAGTTACTAACAAGAAAATGTGGTCCGTTACTATTTTTCAACAAACAAACGGTTGAAGCTGTGTTCAGCTGGTTCAGCATCTTATATCAGTTGCACGGAAGTAGCTGTAAGTAATCTGGATGCTACAGCTTTAAGCAGCTGCGCGCGCTCCTGCGGACGGTAATCACGATCACTGTCTAGCACAACACCTGGAGCTAAGGGGGCAAAACAATGGCATGAGTGCTGCTGTTTGACTGAGGAAGAATTAAGTAGTCGTGGTAAGCCAATCACACGGCCACTAAAAGACAAAACAACAAGGTGATATATACCAGTTTTTAAACTGTGTTTATAGGCCACGTAAAACCAGAGTCATGATAAACAATATATACGTGTGTTTTTTCCTCAATAGTTTCGTCACGTTTACTGTCTAAGGACAGCGCTAGCAAGCACGCTCTGCTTATGAGCAAAACAAAAAACAAAACAGGGGACGTTTTAGGAGTGAGAGAGTGAGATAGAGGGAGTTTTGAGATGTGAGAGATTTGTGACGTTTAGCGTGTTTGGGGTGTGTAGTTAATGTGTTGTCTTGTGTAGTTAGTGTGTAGTGTTGTGGATAGTTTTGTGTTGTGTGTCAGAACAATGAGGCGACTGCTGTCTCCAGGTAGAAACAGGAGTGATACACCTGCTGCTGTCAGACCTGCAGGTATCAGGCTGTGATGTTCTCCTTTATAGTGGACAGAAATATTTGGAGTGGCACAAATAATTTGTGTGGCATCTTATTGAATGCAGAACAGCTGATTGCTCTGTAAATAGTTTGAAGTGGTTATAAAAAAAAAGGGTAAAATGTAAATGGCTGCAAATAACTTTGTTGTTTGTAAAACTTGTGCATATTATTTTAAAATTGACAATTTATATTTGCATTTAAAGTTATGAAATATGATTCATTAAACATGTTTGTGGTTGTTACAGTAAAAAATATAACTTTTTCTACTGTGATTTTATGTTTTTTGTCTGATTTTAGATCAATTGTGTTAATACAGTATGTAAAAATGAAAACATAACTGTAAATTCAGACACGTGAGGTTGTGCTGAAAAGGACGATACCAAACAAGGCAAAGTAAATCGTTTTTAAAGGTAAAATGTGGAGGGAAAATCAAAAGTAGTTAAAAATGGCCAATTATACCCTGGACCCCAGAGGGTTAACGTTTTTTTAAAGTAATGCAATAGTTACTTTTCAAGTAATTAATTACTTTTAGAATATTGTAACTCAGTTACTAACTCTTTTACTTACTTTACTTTTTTGAAGAAGTAACTAGTAACTATAATTAATTACTTTTTCAAAGTAACTTGCCCAACACTGGTAACAACATAGTGTTTTGTTTCTTTCCATGAACAGGTCCTGATGAGTGAATAGTTTTTCAAGTGAACACGGTCAAATTAAACTAATTTGTTCCGTCCTCATTTACTGTTGCTAAAAGGGGTTAAGGATTTGAAGTGCACCTTAAAATCCTTACATTAAAAAGTGTGTCTTAAAAATACGGTAATGGTTCCTTTAATGGTCTTAATGTGAAAAAGAATCACAAGTGGGTGAGGATGGCCAAATTAACAAAAGAAGGCCGGCATTGAAGGGAATAAGTGCACTTCACTGAAGATGCTCACGAAGGCCATCTTCAACCGTGACATTCAGGTAAGACGGAGTTCTCTGTTTGGTTGAGTAGAAAGTGGAAGATATGTACAGTTAGTGGAGCTAGTTTATTAGAAGTGGATCCTAAAATTAAAAGAAAGGCACTTGATTTTTTTCATTCGTCCTTCAGTTTTACTCAACATCGTGAACATTTAAGATTTTTCATTTTTTGCTCAGTCACATTTTCATTTTATAAATGTGACCAACGTAATGTTTAACATGTTCTCTCCTGTGTCCTCAGACTGGGAACAAAGGCCACTCCTCTGTGGAGGATGCTAGAGCCGCTATGGACCTTTACAAAGTGGTAGAACATGAGTGGGAGAGGCAACTTGCTGCCAACTCAATGGCCAGTGTGGAAATTTCTTCATTTTCTGAAATGATCACTTTAGTAATAGTAATATTACTTTTTTGTCACTTAGTTACATACATATAGGATAACATCACATATGTTTCGTGCTTTGTTCCACACACACAGTTAAGCCATTGTGAGTAAGTTGAAGACAATCAGGGGGCGATTAAGAGAGAGCAACAGTTCTAAGTTCCTTTGACATTTCTACTAAATTCTGACACATTACCTGAAACCCTAAAAATAGGATTTTGGGGACATTCCACTTCATTAAGGAATTTTATTGGGCTTTGAACATGCTTTGAGGACCCAGAGAATGAACTTCTTCTTAAAGAGCTAAATGTGATTGATAAAGCAGCAGAAAGGAGTGCGTGTGATATTTGGTGATGCATGTGTAACTCCATCCCTAACAATACTGCTGAAAATGGCTCTTTTACAGAAACAGTCGCTAAATTACAAACATTGCCTGATGCATTTAATGATGAAGTTTGAGAAACATGTCACAGACCAAATGGCTTCCTTATCTTAACAACAGTTTCTCATAAATGAACAACTTAATTTAACTAAAGTGATGAAGCTGAACAACTAATGCTATTTCTGCCTTTGCAGGTGCTGATAACGCCAAGGGCGCGAATAGAGTATCAGCGCTACGATTAAGACACGGGAGAATCTGACAGATTAGACCTGCTTATTCCATTAAATTAATGGTTATATTTGTGTAAGACAGTTTCAAACTTTCAGCACTGAGCAAAAGTAAAGAATACATATAGAATTAATAAATATAAATTAAATTATAATTTAGTGCAAATCTAATGTAAAGTTAACAAGTAAGAACAGGTATTGCAGGTATTATTTTTTTTGTATATTAAGTTCTACAGAAAAACAAAAGTGTTTTAAAATTGCTTGCAGGAGGGGAAAAAAATCAACAAAGTTGTTCCAAAAAATGTCTATATTTCTTAGACGTTCAGTGGCCAGAACTGGCCTGGTAAAAACTTGATCAAGCCCACTGGAAATATTAAGAAGGTCATAAACTTTGAAGTTTTTACTGTATTTTCACAAGCTTTACAACATAACTCATAAAGCCCTCTCCCACTACTACTAATACACCAAAGTAATTACATAATAAATAAATAATAAATATGAGAAAAATTTCTATTTTTTCACTGTCTAGAAAAAACCCAACATTTCTTAGCACTGAGCTATTACAACTTTTTCTGTAATTTTAAACACTTTACAAACGTGACCGATTTGTTTTTGATTTATAGGCGCATTTCTTTTGTCATGTAGAAAAACTGAGATATACTGCTGAAATTGCTCTTTTTTTAATATTACAATTTTTGCAGGGATTAAATGCATTATGTTTAACTTCTTTATACTTAAAGCAAGAAGAGTTTCTTTGGTTCGGCCTAATTCAGATCAAAGTGGGCTGTATGTTGCCCACAATGTAAAATCAGTTTAGTGTCCCTGCTTTATATGGTTGTAAAAGTGTTTAGGTCATGTTGCTATTTGGTCACCAAGATCAAAGTGATCTTCCAAGAATGGTGACTCTATTTTTGAGATGGTAAGAGGTGATTTTGCAACTTGTTGATCTTTTATCCTGAACATAACCTGCTCTAAAGCAGCTTATTGGCACAATTTCTAGGATTTAACATTTCTTGGTGATGACAATGCCCACATCTATCCTTAATCCCCATGACCTTGGATTAGATAAGCACAAGAAGATGGATGGATATATTGTTTACACACCGTAAAATATGATGTTCCCTTTCTGCTTTACTAAAAATGGCACAAGAAATAAAATAAACAAAAACAAACCACAAACACAATGTCTGTATACAGAGAAAATTGATACCTAACACATGCATGTCTCTAAGCTGTCATAGAGGCTTTAAGTGATAAACAGTGGTACATGTATGCGTCAGGATCATGATGTTCAGATGGATTAAAAGCTTAAAACCTTTCTTAATATTCAATATTTAAAAATCCTAAAAACAAAGAGTGGTTAAGTGGGAATTCTCCTTTTGTTGTCATTGTCCAAAACGCTTCAGAGCCACCAGTACAAAGTTTCTTGGAGAGAAGTTTGGGTTGAAGAGAGGAACAAGCTGACTGTTCACACCTGTAGAGAGACAGTAGAGGTTTGAGATAAATGGCTACACCACGCAATCATAATATTCAAGTCATGTGACAGCATCAACTGTCCAACCATTCTCTTGGAGGTAGATCATCCTATCCAGCAGCACCATTGTCTCCACCACAGGGGCCAGCAGCAGGGACAAGCTGAAGTACACCACCACCCTGCCCTGTTCCTTCAACATGGCCTCCACTCGCCCCAGGTCCAGGGGCAACTCAGGAGGCAGTCCGACCCGAGCCAGACCCAAACGAGCATATCTGGGAGGGATAACAAATGTAGACAAAACAGGACAGGATACTTTAGTCAGAAACTAAAATGATTCTTACAGAACGCAAATTATACATGCAAAAATGACACCAAATCTCTGCCTGTCTTTGTCCAGTACTCCTCCAGGGGCAGAGCAACAAAACACATGTGCCTCTTAAGAGGTTTTTATCTATATCACATATTATGATATCATCCAGTTGCCTAGCAACTACTGAGCAAACAGGGCTAAATTACCAATTCATGGCCTGTATAACACCTTCATGTCACTTTAATTTCACAATAACATATAATTCACATCCACAAAAGTTGAACTATGCAAGATATATATGTCGCCATCATGTTCTCTGGCAACCATCTAGTAGCAGGCTAAAATTTTCTAGCCTTCACGGCTTTACTTTTCTTTTTCTTAACTTTTATAATGTCTTCCTATGTTTTTATTTTTCTTGATTATCTTAATTGTACAGCACCTTGGTCAACAGTTGTTTTAAATGTGCAGTATAAATAAATTTTACTTTGCCTTTACAAACCAATATGAGCACAATGTATTACTTACATTTCATGACTATACCATCTTATTTATATCCACAAAAGTGGATTTACACTTCATATAGTAAAACATTATAATCATGTTGCCTAGCAACCACCTAGCATTGGGCAAAAATGACCACATTTTAGCATTTACGCACTGAAAGGCCAAACAATACTATAACATGGGCATGCACTGTTATTATGAATTTAGTGACCCTCCTCCTGTTGTACCAATTATTGCTGCATTTTCAGACAACTGACAAACCATATCAGCTGAAATGAAAGACCTGTGTAAATACCTGATGGATGCAATTTTTACTCACTCTATAAAAGGTAATAGGTGGGATTTCTTGATGGTCTGGATTCCTGCCCTGCGCAGATCTGGCCTTGTGTCTCTGATGAAGGTCTCAAGCATCGCTCTGTAACAGTGCGACCTGAGCAACTCGCTTTCTTCCCTGAGTCGCCGCACATAGTCCTCAACAGCATGACACGCCCCCTCTCGGGCCTTATAGGACAACTGATGTCCCGACAGCCCTGACACCCAGGAGCTCATCGGGTAGCCAAACTCTGACTGAACTGACTCTTGATCTGGTGTTGGTGGAGCAGGCGGTATGACCAGTCCTGGAGGGGTGGGGTTTTCTTTGGTTGTGATTTTCATGTAACAGCATGCCACTGAGGTGATGCCGCGCACATGCGGGCATTTGACAAAATGGCGGAGGAGGGTGGCACTGAGGTCACCGCAGGCATGGAGACCAGTCAGGACAAAGTTTGGATAGCCTTGCAGGCTGTCTTCCTCAGAGTATACCCCCTCGTGACTGTCAGAGTGGATGCATGAGGAGCATTTTTCGTCAACGAATTCCACTCCGGACATCTTTTTTGACTTTTGTTGTTTTGACAGTTCAGACTCTTGAGAGTTAGAATCAGAACGAGCATAAGAAGTCTGAACTACATGGAGGCCTCCCTGTTGCACAGAGCCTCGCAGTTTCTTTTTGCTGGGTCCAGATAGAGTTGGGGGACCTTCGCTGACATGATCTGGAGCTTTTAGCTGTCTGATGAAAGCCTCCCACGATGCCTTCGGGTTTACCCAACCGGCGATGTGGCGAGGAAAATATTGTGCTGGAATGTGAGAGGAGCAGTTCTAGGAAGCAAAAGATGTTCATTAATATTTCTGTTGATATGCACTATAGTAGGAGGTAAAATGTCTATACAATGGATTCATTAAATATAATCATAATTAAAACTGTCACTGATTGGTAAATCACTAAATCATCACTATGTTTTTCCCCTAGGCTTTAAAGAGCGTTTACGCAAATCTGAGGTCAACATTTCAAACTTAAAGCTTGATCACTAACTGTGTTTTTATCCAGTCTTACTTTTCAGTGAAAAAGCATCCAGAAACCACTACTGTTTGAGACTAGCTAGCGAAGAGGGTATCTAACAGGTAAAGAAGCTCATATTTTTCCAAGAGTTGATAGAGAGGAAACTACAACTTTAAAGAGTGAATAATTGTGCTTACATTTATCAGGTAGAAATAAACAATTTCCAGGTGAATGGCAATGTTGCCCTGCATCTGCTAAAGGTGGAAAAGCCCACCGTTTGCTAAGAGGGTCAACAAATTATCCAGAAGGGTGATATGCCAGTGTTTACACTTTGTATTTGCTGCCCCCAAGTGGCAAAAATGGAAGTGTCAGGCTTAATCTTGCCTTTGAACAGACATCACGGAGGATGCCGACTTTAACTCACACTGCTTTGTCAACTCAACACAGTTCAGTTCTTATTTGTAGGTTTGGACTTTTTGAACCCAGAATGCTCTTCTTGACAACAAGCTTTTTATAAAGAGGAAAAATATGGAAAAACTATGTTTGAAAATAGTAAATAATAATTAATAAGGAAGAGTCAATGGTAGAGCATTACACAAAATACTTAAGTATTCTATTAACTTTACAGGACATTTAGAGTTCTCTGAGATCCAAACTTTATTTAGAAACTTATAGGTGTGCAATAATATTAGAAAATCACTAACCTTTTTCTGCTTCTCCTTCTCCAAGGCCCACACCAACTGTCCATCAAACTTGGATGCCATAGTAACCAGGGTTGGATCAGCTTCAATAGCAGTCACAGAAAGTCCAAGTCCAAAGGACAGGAAACGAGTCAGGTGACCCTGGTTAGGCAAAAATGGGACTCAGGGTTTACTGTGGCAAGATTTACTGCTTCATTTTTGATTTCAACTCTTAAAAATTTGCATGAAAATTGATTTTATAGACTTTTACTATAGAAGCATGAAATCTAATTCCATTCCCATTAACATTAAAGTGCTAGCTTAAAAAATGTATTGATGTGCTTATGTGTTAAAATCATGCGACTATGAGTGATACCTGCCCAGAGCCCACATCGACCACTCTGTTGCAATCAGTCTGCTCACAAAGTTGCTTAACCAGCTGCAAATATAAAAATATATATTAAAAACATTCTAAGCAGAAAAGCCAAGACGTGCTAAAGCAGCCACCTGTAAGCATACATACTGTGCCGAGCTTGCGAATCTCATGCTGTTTCTTGGGTTTAACATGCTTCCTGAAAATGTGACCCAGGAGGGAGCTCTGACTGTGATTTTCCAGGAACTCCTTTGGCTTCACTGACCCACCTACTCTGCATCCCTCACTCCTGCTCTCCCTAGGAAATGCCAGGGCATGGGCTGTGGCACGGAAAGCCAAGAGAGTCAGAGGCCACACTGAAGGATATCTGTAATGAGAACGTTTTTAGGCAATTAATTACCTAATAAGGGGATGTTTTTATTGATATGATATTATATGAAGAGCACAGGATGTCTAATTTATGCTTACTTTGCCTAAATAAACAAATGAATGTATGAATTAATTCAATTTTGTAAAACAAGGCAACCAAACCTTCTGGGCTTTGCTAAAATCAACTTTGCTTTTGGTTCTTTAGTTTTTTTGAGTTTGATTTGGATATCTGCAACCTTGCTTTAAGGATATATAAAGGGCCTAATAACAATCCAGTAGTACCTCCTGTCTTCATGAGTGGCATCCAGCAATAGGTCTGCAATCTGTGGATATGACAGGTCCTGCAACACAGGCTGCCAGCTGCTGGGTAATGTGTGCCACAGATCTTCTGTGAAAAATTCCTGTAGAAGGGATAACAAACTGATAAGAATCCAGCTGTTGCACTGTGTAAATAAGGCTTGATTACAATTCATATACCATACTTTACAGTCATGTGAAAAACTAAGTAAACCCTTACTACGTCCACAGAAATTAGAAGGGTACACAACAGCCACTCAGTGCTAATTAAATGCACTTGATTAACTGATCATCAGCAAGCATGACCACCCTTAATAAAGCAAAGGTTTTGGCAGTTTGCTCGTCTGGAGCATTTAGGTGTAATCTACATTCTTTCGAGGAGTGGACGTCCCAGCAAATTCACTTTGAGGTCGGTGCTTAGAGAAACTCCCAAGAAAACCCAAGAGCTACATCTTAGAGTGAGACTACGGGTCTCAGTTAAGATGTTAAATGTTAAAGCTCATGTCAGTATGACAAGAAAAAGACTGAACAAGTATTAACTTGTTTGAAAACAAGTAAGTTTTTCACTTGTTTTCAAAATTAACAACTTAATTTTGCAGAATTTGATCTCTACAAAATTCCTCAATGTCCTTTGGACATATGAATGAAACCAAAGTGGAGATATCTGGCCCTAATGAACAGCACCACATTAGATTATCAGCACAACACACATCATACCAACTACTAGGCACCGTGCTGGAGGGATGATGATTTGGACTTGTTTTGCTGTCACAGGATCTGGGCAGTCATTAATCGACTATGAACTCTGTATACCAAAGTATTCTACAGCCAACTATCAGATCATCTGTCTGACGGCTGAAGCCTGGGTTAAACTAGGTTATGCAAGGGACTGATGATCTCAAGCCCTCAGCAAATCTACAATAGAATGGCAGAAAAAGAAAAGGATCAATGTGTTCCAATGGTCCAGTCAAAGTCCAGACCTCAACCTGAATGAAATGCTGTGATAGAGTCTTAAGAGAGTTTTGCATAAAGAAATTCTTGCAAACCCCAGTTTCACTGATCTACTTGTCTCGCAAAGGTAAACAATCACTCGTCACTAGCTGGCACTATTGGCTTTGACATATACAAAACAAGTAAATAAATGTGCACAATAACATTTAGTGTTAGAGACCTGGTTATTTACTAATGCCAAACGCAACAAAAAACAAAACCACTGGGCAAGCTGCATACTTCAGAAATATCTATCGATACGCACAATTATGTAGGAGTCGGAGAGGTGGCTGTACTGAGACAGAAAGGTGGAGAGTTGCTTGGCTAGTTCCCTCTGCTGCTCCGCTGTGAAACTTGTTGTAAACATCTCGACATCCTGAAGGTAATGCTAACAAGTTAGCTCGTTAACGTCGTTTTAGTTTATTTTTCTAGTTAAGACCGAGTGTGTCTGAAATACCAAAACTATTACAACCATCTCCATAAAATAAAATTTTAACGTTAAAAGTATTTCCTTTAAATGTCTGAACTGATAATTGCTTTTAGCCACTAGCTTGTTTCCGTCGCTACCTACAACTTTCACGTTTTTCGATAGAATCGTGATGCATTTAAGTACTCGCCGTAATTTTAGATACAAGTGCACAAAAAAAATTAAAATTAGAATCTTAATTTTAAACTTTAGAAAACAGTCTTCTACTTGGTTCCTTATATACATCTGATATGGGGTTTTATTAATAACTTATAATAAATCACTCCCTACTGTGAGCAAATAGTACATTATTTAGGAATTAGTGGAAAGGATACTACAAAAGACGTTTAAAGAGTTTTAGTTTAGTATATTACTCAAAGTTATTGTGCATGTCAATTTTAAAATATTTTATGATTTCAATGAAATATAATAGAGAGGCTTTTAGATACCAGAGATAAAAGTATTCAAACCAATCTGGAATTTTCAAGATGGACAAAGGGTATCCAAAGGCAACATGCCCCGGATGTAGATCATCTGTTCTGGGCAGGAGGATTCGTTCGGTTCACGTGTAGCAGGTCTGGTTTTATGTTTCTAAAAGTTAATTTTAGACATTTCCTTTGAGGGCATATATCGCTATCGACCGACCAAATGTTCACAAGCAGAAAGAGAAACTGTCCATTGAGAGAGACTGTCAATAAACAGTGTTTGGTGTCCAACGTTAGCGTTAGCGGGCTAACCGTTAACCGCTAACAGTTATTAGCTAATGTTAGTATTAGAAGATATAGCAGTATTAGCAGTAGTGGCATCCACCAAGTGCAGCTGATGAGGTTTCCTGATGTCTGCTCAGTCATCCAGGTAAGGAAATCAGGTTTCCTTACCTTCAGGTTTCCCCAACTTTATAAACAGTACGGTTTGTAAAGTTTGAATCTGCGACACGATGGGACAGTTACTGTGCCTGCTCATTTACCAGTTGCTTATAAATCCCGTATAAAGTTAGCTTTAAGATTTTATATTTCCAGAATCCCTCAGGTTGCCATGTTAAGTTGGGAAAAGTGTTCACCCTTCCATCCACGACCACAAAGTATCAGGTCGCAAAAAGTAAACAATTAAAACAGAAAACATCTATTGTGAAAGGATGGAACAGTACCAATGTTTACATTGTCAATCTGGCAACTTCAATGTTTTCTAGTTTCCCGGACAAGTCCAGATTGATGTTACGTCCCCAAATTGGTTAGATAATTAGATATATGGATACTTTATTCAATTTTACGAGCGAAATTATTGTGTTATAACAACAGGATAAAGAATAAAAATAGTACAGTCTACAATTATAAGCAACATAGTTGAAGCCAAAATGCTACATGCTCATAGTGATGACTTTACAACTTGAGTGAAAAAAAGTGCACGAATTTTTATATATACTACAGGGATTAAAAACAGAGCATTTTAAGAAATGAAATGAGTTAAAAAGTAAAGATAAGACTTAGATTGTGCAAGAAATTAGTGAAAATTATATTAGTGAATGATATATACACTCCAAATCTAACAAACGACTGTATAACAGTAAAATACTGAGATATATCTGTAAAATGTTGTGCCTGAGAAGTGTGTTCACCTCACAGAAAGAAGAGTTATTGGACAGTTCCACAGAGAACAGTAACAATGATTTCCTGAAGTGTTCTTTGCCTAGAAAAGTATCTGAAAATTTGCAGGCATTTTCAGGCACTCGGTCTGATTGGTTATAATTCTGCAAATCCAGGCACAGTTTGATAATATTGTGTTTGCCTTGCAGGATGAGACTTCTAAACTGGACTAAACCCAACAAGGACCTGTTGAAGGATTACAAATAAGCAGATCTATGAGATTGTTTTGTGGGAAAGTGTGTGTTTTGAAATTATTTAATTTGATGTAAACATGTCAGACATTTGGATTAATTTATCTCATGATGAAACTGCACCGAAAAAAGCTCCAGCAGGCAAGGTAAACAGGAAAAAAGAGTGGCTGCGTAGAAAGAGGCACAACCGTGGAGCAAAGGGGTACAGGGAAGGTAAACAAAAGAACAACCAGTATAGGCAAGACTTCAGACAGAGCCAAACACCACTTCAGAATGGTGCGTCCATTAAATGCCCACCAGCTTCCACTTCCACACAAAGCAAAAGTTTATCGTATCTGGCCAGTGCACACAGTAGTTCCATGCCTCCATGTGGAGAAAAACCAAAGGAGCCCCTGAAATCATCAGCCAGCAGCCCTGGTTCCTCAGTATCAAGCACCTGTAAGCCCATCACCATGTCATCAGGGAACCCTTCTAAGTATGTCGCTATTGACTGTGAGATGGTTGGCACGGGACCAAAGAGCCTCAGTGAGCTTGCACGCTGCAGTATAGTTTCCTATGAAGGAGATGTGATTTACGATAAGTTTATCAAGCCCTCTGCACGAGTCACAGACTATCGCACTCGATGGAGCGGCATCCGACGCCGTGACCTCGTCAATGCCATGCCATTCACCAAGGCCAGGATGGAGGTGAGAAAAGTGTACTTTTTTTTTAAACGATTTCGCATGTTCTTTTACATTGTAAAATGCTTGTCATCAGAGGAGTTAAGAGAGAGAGATTTGGGGAAAAATATTGAATTTAAATGTAAAGGAGAACTCAACAACTGCAAAGATGCTGGAAGATATGTAAGTACCAGTGTTATTATAGCTAATATATAATTTATATAGTTATAGTTAATATAGTTATTAATTTGACAGCTAACCAGCACTAAAATATATTGTCAGATAAAACACATTTTAATCCGGATGAACGCACAACATGTGTGAGGTACCATACAAGTTGCAGCTAGTGTAAAGACACAGTAAATAACAGCAATTAAAGACAACTGCAGGAATAATTTATCATCCTAATCCATTTTCGTCCGTTTATCCTGTTCTGGGTTACAGTTGGTCTGGAGCCTGTTGTAGCTGTCTAGCTGCTATCACAGGGTTATCACAGGGTTTTAAAAGGGCTAACAACAAAGAGCCTGACAACCATTTACACACAAAATAGAATCTCCAATTGACCTAACATGTATGCGTTTGGAGTATGGACCCACTAATGAAAATTAAAAATGCAAAAATAAAATGAAATGATAATTAAGTTTCCTAACACTTATGGTAGTTAAATGTATTTGTTGTTAGTTTTATAAAAAACTGTTGTTAAAAAGGGAGCACACTTATGGTCAGGTAAGGTATCCTTGAAAGGATCTTCACAGTTTCATGCAGACACTGCATAATAATAAAAATAATAATAAAAATCTTGATCGTAGAGATTTATACAGCATGCAATTAATATTAATTAATTTGTTTAGGTAAACCAACTGTTAATTTATATATGTTTTACTGTTTAAATTTATTTACTGGTTCCTTTTAATGGTCTTAATTTGAAAAAAGAATCACAACTGGGTTAAGATGTCCAAATTAACTTTAATTTAGACATTATTTCATTCCATTGTAGGATTTGATTTTTGCAGCATCCATTACTCTGTATAAACCAGTAAATAAGATGTTTTTTTTATCCGTTGGTACTACAGATACTGTCGCTGATTAAGGGTAAGGTGGTGGTTGGCCATGCCATCCACAATGACTTCAAGGTGATTGGTTACTGTCATCCCCCCGAGCTGACCAGGGACACTTCTCGAATTCCTCTCCTGAACCAGATGGCCGGCATTGAAGGGAATAAGTGCACTTCACTGAAGACGCTCACGAAGGCCATTTTCAACCGTGACATTCAGGTAAGACAGTTCTCTGTTTGGTTGAATACAAAATGGAAGATATGTACAGTTAGTGGAGCTAGTTTATTAGAAATTATAATAATTTACATTAATTACACATCTGGACACCAGTAATTTTTTTTTTATGTGAATCACTAACAGCAGTGTTTTTCTCACAGAATTATATCGAATTCAACACAAATATTTACCATAGAAGATTTTTGGTTTTGAATTATTTTCTTCTTTTTTTTTTACCCTGGAATCCTCTTTCATGTAGTGGGCTGTTGTCAATGACAAATTTAAACTGAAACCTGGGTAGAAAACCAGTTTTTCAACTAAACGGTTAATATCATGTAATGTCATCATGATTTTATAAATATGACCAACATAATGCTTAACATGTCCTCTCTTGTGTCCTCAGATTGGGAACAAAGGCCACTCCTCTGTGGAGGATGCTAGAGCCACTATGGAGCTTTACAAAGTGGTGGAACATGAGTGGGAGACGCAACTTGCTGCTAACTCAACGGCCATGTTGGGGTAAAACACTTGATATGGCGGGCATGCAGTTTGGACAGCGGAATTTAACTGTCCCATTGTTGTGTGAATAACAAAACCAGGAGAACTGCAATTGCTCATTCAACAAACCGGATAACCTTCTACCAGCTGCCTGAATTTAAATAAAACTGTACTGTTGTCAGTGGAGGGGAAGAATGTGAATATCTGTTGGAGCTGAAACTTCTTCTACATCAATTTAAGCTTGATTTGTACTACTGGATGAAATCTATGCCTTACCATTACATCTGTATCGTCCCAGAAGTTTATCTAGATTGGTCCATTTGATAGTAAAATATGTGAGTAACACAATGATATTGTTTCATTGAAACAATGTGTTGTATCTGGCTTTCTCTAAAAAGCTAACACAGTTGCCAGTTTTCAGCCAGTGTTTTTTTTTAAACCATGAAAGTCTGTATACAGACAGATATATTATCGACCTAAAGAAGCCTACATTGAAATATATGGTAGCACTGCAGCAGAAATATTGGTAGAAGTATAACTACCAAGGCTTTTAAATTAAGTTTAATCAGATGTAAGAAGTAATTCTGTACATGCTTGTAAATGATTGCACAAGTAAATTCCAGGAGGAGTCTGCTCATTGCTGGGACTTTCTAGAAGGACGTTGGTGTTGGTATAGAGGCAGGTGTTTTTGAAGACACTTCTCTTTTCTGTTTCAGTAAAGATGAGTGTTTTATATGTATTTGCTGCAAATCCAACAAGATGTGCTCAGTGTCATCCTTAATGGAAGAGTAATGAAGTCGCATTTGTCCAAACTCCAAAAGTAAACATGCAAAAGCTGCAATGGCCATTATGGTCCTGCAGAGATTCAGTGCAGGACTATAAATCAAGCTTTAATTGCAGTAGTTACATTTTGTGTCAGGGTTTTACACTGTGTTCAAATGGTGCTCATGCCACTTGGGGGCAGTCATGTCTTTGCTGGAACATTATTATGTGATGTAAACAGTTTCTAGCTTTTCACATGTTTTTTGTTTTTTTGTTGTTTTTTTACTAAATCAGCACTGGGCTGTAGTAGGACCGCATTTTATCAAGAGTCATGTAAACACTGCAAATAAATGGTCTCATATTCTTACCATGTGAACGCCAGTGAAAAAGAAAGTGAGCCCTGACTAAAAGAGCGTTAGTCAAACATCTAATTTTATTCAGGACCATAGAACAAAGACTTAACCCGTGAGTCATCTGTGTAGACTTTATTAATATGTTTTAAGGACCGAATTGTTAATATCACAGACATCTATAAAGCGTGCATTGTTAAATTTATTGGAGTTAGTTATCATTAAAAAACACAAAAATCAAGAATTGATCAACTTCATTCCCATTCCCCAAAATACTTCTGTTTAGACTTCAGGGTCCACACTGCTAGCCACTGGTTTGATCTTCCATTTCTCCTGTTACAGGAGTGGTCTGAGTGCCCAGTTAATCATCTTCCCTCTTTCAACTTCTTTTCCACCAAGTTCAAGAAACATAAGTGGTGACTTTCTGAATTTGTGCAATTTCCTATGCAATGTCTGTTGGAATATGTTATTCACTCTACTGTCATCCTGATTTTAAAATCTATAAATCATTACAGCAGTAATTTTGTGGCGTTACTGTAATTGGGTGTAAAGAAACCAACAAAACTGAGATAACGTTCAAATACTTATGTGCACAAAACACCGTTTAACTTTTCAGTTTGAAACACTTCTCGCTTTTTTTTTCCACATTAGTTTTTTAATGTGGAAAAAAAACAAGTAACGGTGCCATCTGTGGCCATTTGAGGTAGTGAAAGATGTCTTTGTAGTGCCCGTTTGCATCAGTGTGTAGAAACTTCATAAGTGGCAGCACATAAAGAGCCCCAAATATGACCATGAAGCTAGTGAGTCTGTGAATGCAGATTTCCTGTCCCAGTGAATTCCTGGCCTATTTAAATTAAAGGTTAAAATTGCTTCCCAAAAAAGGTGCCTGGAAGTGTCTGTTGATGTCTGCACCTTTCTAAAATTCTTTTAGAAAGATTTTGATACTGTCTCCTCATCTGAACAGCATAAATGAGCTCTATGGTAGTCTCTGATACACAACTGAGGAATAGGAAGTACATCAGTTTGAAAAACGGATGCCTCACAGGTCCTCTGTTGGCAGCTTCATTACCCTTTACAAAGCATTAGTCTCAAAATCAACAGTGAACAGTCGACTCCGGGAAACTGGCCTTGTAGACAGAGTTGCAAAGAAAAAAAAGACCTGTCTGGCCCTAGCCAATAGAGGGAATGGTTAAGATGGGCAAAAATGTGCAAACACTGGGCAAGGCAAATTCAAAAAGAAAATACGATTTTGGGTTAACGGGTTTATTTATAAGACTAGATGCCATTTGTCAGGAAATACCTTTACATTTCCAGTTCCTTTTGGTGGGAAAATATAAAGGCAAAGTGAGAGATTTGTGCATGATCAAAGGCATCATGATAAGGAAAGTTTGACTATTTTTCAGTGTGGATACTAGTTGATTGGAGCGGGTTTGTTTTTCCAATAGGACAATGACAAAGCTCCAAAGGATGCAAAAAGTATGTAAAGAAGCTGTGGGCTGGTACTCTGTATTGGAGTCAAGTCACTGGATTTCAACCCCATTAAGCACTTTTGGGAACCAGCCCACCATATAGTGCATACATGTTCTGTCAATAGTGTCTACAGTATGTCTGTGTCCAGGTCATCGTAGTTTAAGGAGCTTGAAAAGAAAAGCGTCTGGACTTCTAGTGTCTACGGCATAGTCATATATATGCATAACATTGTTTTCCACATATCCTGGCTTTTAATTTGAAAAAAACAAACAAACAAAAAACTCATAAAATGAAAAGCAGAGCACAGCAATTCTAACTTATGTTGTTCCAGATTCCTTCAATAAATTGCATGTTGAATGTCAAAGGTCTACAAGAGTATAATCGCTGCCAGTTGATGATTCTTTTACCAAAACAAAGATTGAAGGACAAAATTTAAAATAATTATTCTTTTTTGTATGTTCCAGTGCATTCTGGTACATCCTGCAGATGCATAGAATTGATGTCTATATCTAAAACAGCAATCATTATGGCTCCAATGGCCTGATAGCTGAGTTCTGAGATTACTTACAGTTAGTGTTGCTTTTCGTCTCAGAATTCACCCCTTTTTAAAAGTCTTTTGACAGAACAGACCTTGGTCAAATGTCAGATCTGACAAACGGCACAAAATGTATGAATTCCCTATTTTATTGAAGGCTAGCCTTTCCACAGAGCACATCAGCAGCTGCATCAACATATTTCTACTCTTCCAACTTTACACCACTTTGCTGGTGTAAGCATACGATTCTTCCACAGTCTCATACTGTTCCACTTTATGTCCCCTTTGGCAGCTGTTTGTCCTTAAAGGTGAACGTATCAGCATTTTTTTCCCCACTGTGAATTCAGCTCTAGTGAATTAATTATACAGAATGCCATCCTTCCTGAGAAAGCAACACCAGACACATCTGCTATAGCAGAGAAGCTCATTAAAATAGTAAGAACATACCAAACGTCACAGGCAATACTGCACACAAACACCAACAGTGATTCACCAGCACTTTCTAGGTCTTTGTTAGAAAATATCTACATACACCAAAACACCATGCTGTCACACCCTGAGAGCTCAGCAGCACAGATTTATTGGATTCAGCACACATCCACTCTGTTTTATATTGGTATTAAGTGGGGTAATTTCTTAGCAACAGTGGGTCAGATCTGTTTAATGTGATTGTGGTAGCACAAGGGCACTCACAAGGAGCAGGAAGCCTTGAAGACTCATGTCCTAACTTGAAATTTTAATGTTATGTGTTTTTTTTTAACAGGTTTTTAATCAAATTTATCTCGATAAATTTGCAGGGATGTAACACTGAAAAAACTTCATCCACGGCAGACGAGTTAACACCAAGCTATTCACGTCCTTCTTTGCTCTTCTTTTCATAATCTGTTAACAGCTGTTTTGGCTTGTCAGCTGGCAAACTGAGCTCGTAACTTTGTATCTGGAAAATTCTGGCAAAACAAGGTAGGTAGGTAGGTAGACAAATATTGCTGACCTAACTGCCAAATTTAATGTTATTCAATTCATATGCAATGCTGGGAAATTTACATTTGAAATAACAAATGTAAGGCTGTTAAAAAGGCAACTGGTAACACAACTATTTAAATCATGAAAGTAATATAACATGACATTTCTTTCCTCTATTTTCAACAAATATATTAAACTGAGACATAGATATCAGAAGGCCAGAACCAACCAAGAAACAATACTCCAAATATAATGAGTGTATATTAACACAACATGTTTTTTATATACAGAGGCTAAGACACTTGCTACAACAAAAAAGCACATAAGTAACATTACAGAGTAGGATAACAGTGTTTAACCAGCAGAAGTTGTGAGAGGAAATCAATCAATGTCCCAAAAAGCAGGTGCCCCCCCCCCCACAGACCACTGTAATTAAGTACACCAGTCAGCCAGAACATTAAAATAATTGACAAGTGGAATGACTATCGTTCATCTCATCTTGTTCTACTGGGAAACTTTTGGCCTTGGCTTTCATGTGGATTTAACTTTGACACTATCATCCATCTACTGTAAATATAGTTGCAGACCACGTACAGCCCCTTTGTTGCTGTGAAGCGACATGTGGTTTAATCCATTCTCTAGATTATCCCATGCTGTTTATCCCCTCTTAATCTCTTTGCATCTGGCCAATAATGTGAATACTTTGATTTTATTCCCTGTTATTAGATTCAAAAGTGAAAGCCAGAGCTTTAAATTAAAGAGGCTTTGGATTTTCTTCTGTAGCTGTGTTAAGTCTAATATTTTTGAAATCTTTTTTATATTGACCATTTCAAATGAGAAACAACTTTTGGCTCACTGATTCTTTTGGTCAACATTTCCCTTTGTTAAATGTGATTGCACATTATTAATTTAAATTATTCTTGAATTTTGAAATTAAAGAAGATTAAGTGACTACCTGCTGGATTAATTAGACCTTGGAATACATGCAAGACAACGGTGTGTGTCATTATGCCATACAATATGGATTTTATGGAATTTATTGCCCCGGGGTCAAGTTATTGGGAGCTAGACTCTGCAGATTACCCTTTTCAGACACATATCACACAGCAAATATATTAGTCATGGCCCAGCCTCAGCTCTATGTGCATAATCAGTTTTTATTGCCCACGTCCAAGACATCAAGAATTTGTCTGTTTTGCAGATTTCTACAGTAGTTAACCTACAGTACATACAGTGGGTTGGTAGAAGGGTCAGGATATGTGGAAGCTTAAGTTCTTATAGTGTCATGCATGTGGGTTATGAAAACTATGCGGGAGGAAATAGAAATCTCTGGAATAAGCAACTTTCTAGATTTATTACAAATCTGTTTAAAATACACTATAAAATAGGGTAGAGGCATATTGAATCCCCTATAATTCGTTCACTCATTCACTTTATCTCACATTAATGGTTTTTACTGTGTCCAGTGACACTCAAGTGCCCAGCAGTGAATACAAAGTTGTTCTTGCTGCTCCCCTGTAACATTCAAAGATCTCATAGAATAATTAAATGTATAAGCTTCGCTAATAAATATGCAACATGAACTAGGTCACTCTAGGGTCAAAGAGCTAACCTGTGAGTGGAAAAACTGGTGACCCTTGGATTGTTTTCTTATTTAACAGTTTATTATTGTTTATTGCAGATATTTAGCATCCACTTTTTGTGTAATATTTTATTTGATTGTATTTGATGGTTTGGGCCCCGAGAAGACTAGCAACCACTGTTGTGGAAGCTAATGGGGTTCCTTATAAATAAACTAATAAACAAACATGTTTATTTTTAGTAATTACAAATTACATGAACATTGCTTCATTTTTGGATGGTGATCTCATGACCTCAAGCACTTATAACATGCTAAAACTACTAGCTTACCTCAATATTTGGTCGCTAAAGTTACATTTACAATCATATTCCAGCTTTGTGGCGCTTTAGTCTCTTACAGCATTAGTTTTGATACACATATTACTATATGGCTCAACATCACTACTCTTGAGCTCTTTACCAAAACAAAAGCTCAGAGAAAAATATTTATTAAACACCAAATTAGCTAGTGAGCACATAGACGGACTTTGCAATTTGTAATTAACATTCAAATTGCCACTGATGAATTAGTCACATCAATTTGTGTCCAAAGTGAAGAAACAAACAACAGGAAGTCAGATAACCACAATATCATTATGCAAGAATACTGACTAATTATATTTTGAGATGTTATCTTGTAATTATGTGACACACAGTTTGTGAAATGAGATGCAGATCTCCCAAGATTCTAGCATAAATCATCAGAAAATGTGTCACTTTTTTTCTTCTTTGGAGATCCAGACATGATTGTGAGCGGTAATGTTTTGAGACTACAGCTGAATGCTAATTTTATTGAGTCTGCTGGAAATCTGGGTTAGACTGCAGGCATTAGCCCTTAATAAGGGCATTATATATTAGAGCATTTTGTCAGATTCTTATGGAATTGTTCCTCCCCCTAGTGGCCATAAATGTCAATTATTGACTCTTTATCCGTCGACGCTATGGGAGAAGAAGAACATTTAATGTCATGCTGCAGTGGGGTGAAAAGAGGTAAGAGATGAATAACTGCATGGTGTATCACGTGAAGTCCCGCATAAGTAAGGTATGATTCACCTCACCCGATTGAGCCCTAACTATAAACTTTATCAAAAGGAAAGTTTTAAGTCTTAAAAGTTGAGACCACACTTTATATGTCAGGAGAACTATTTTAAATTTAGCATATATTCTGGAATTAGCAGGGAGCCAATGACGAAAAGCCAGTATTTAGGAAATATGACCTCTCTTTCTTGCACCTGGTCACACTCTCCCTGCAGCGTTTTGGATTAATTGGAGGCTTTTTAGGAAACTTTT